CTGCGCCACCAGGGAGGGCCGTATAGAACAACTTTTTAAAGGGCTTTATAAAGTACTTCATATTACTTATATAAACATTTCATTATAACTATATTGTCCTTCAGTTCAAACTCTGGATGTCCAAAGCTTTCGTTGCAGTAAAATTCTGTTTGGGCTAAATTTCTAGAAATGCTTTCTCAGGTCCATTGGCTCAAGCCAGCAGAGAGGATCAGTGGAGTTCAGTTCCCTATGGAGGTCACAGGTGCAAAGGCTCGGGTGGATAACAAGATAGGTGTCGCACACCTGTTTTCTAATCCATCCCTTTCTTCCTTTTCAAGCTCCAGATGAGTAATTTGTGGATATTTTCAAGTCTTTCTTATCTCAGTTCTTAAAAGCCAAGATGAAAGGGGAAAGGAAGTACATTGAAGTTTCCTGACCCCTTGGCAGTCAGGCCTTGGCAGTCCAGCCCGGCCCCTACTCCCCACTACTGCAGGAGGGGTGCTTTGGCCCCAAGCCTCGTGGGGACTGAGCAGGGACAGAGCAGTGGTTCTGAACCTCTCTGGGCCCAAGGGATCCCTTTGGGAATGTGACAGCAGTGAACTGTCTTAGGAAAATGATCCCACAAAATCTTGTGCACCATTTTGGGGAGTTTATTGACCTACCAATGACCAGGGCAACACCACTTCCAGGAGCCCAGGGTTGAGCAGGTGGGAAGCTTCACTGTGGCCACATCACAGCCACTGTGGTGAGTGTGGTGCTGGGGAAGAGGCCCCAGCACTGGGGACGCGCCTGTGTCCTGTGTCACTATGGCCTAGGTGCCTTTTTTGTTTATTTCCAGAGAGTCTAAATTCTGCTGCAGTGTTAGGAACAACTGTTCCTTCTGTCATTCTGATTGAGAGAACAGCTGAGTTCTGCTTTCCAAGCAAATGGCCACTTAGAGACTGATGGGACTATTTTTGGGCTAGAAGGTGAGCGAGTAAGAACAGATAGATGAGCAGGAGGCTGTGACTTTAAAAACAAGAAGGCCCCACTGGTCTGAACTTTGAATGGGTGAACTTTGAATGGGCGGCTGGCCAGGAAAGCAGGGAGGAGCTAACCGCTGATACCACACTGAGGAAAAGCTCTCCATTACAGCCCTTTCTGCTGCTTTAAAGTGCTTAGGGTTAGGAAATGTAGCCCAACATTGTGACTACGTAGAGGAAATAAGAGGCAAAACAGATTTAGATGAGAATAAAAATTTATTTTGGTAAATATATTTTTTTATTTGCAAAAGCTGAAAATGCTCGTATAAATTACCAGCCCAGAGCTTAGATTCCCACTGGATCCACTTCATGAATCCAGCGTCTGTCACTTCTTCTTACCAGGCTTGGAGGCCTTCTCTAGGCCTTGGATGTGTTTTCGAGGAAGCTGATACTCTTCTACAATCCAAAAGAGCACAAACTCCTCAATGGCGTGCAGCCTGCATCCCCATCATCTCCTAACGTCTCTCCTTTGGTACCCACCAGCAAAGGGGGCTCAGCTCACCTCCCAGCCTCACCCGCTGCCCCCCTTACCTGCTGGCACCCTGCCCCTGCCCTCTCCCCGCACTCACTCCAATGTCCAGCCTGTTTAAGCCACGTCCATCAAGCACTCTGAGTTTCTGTATGCTGCTCAGACTCAACTCCTACAGGAAGCCTCAGGGACAACCACCTGCCTGTCCCCACAGCTCCAGGCCTAAGCGTCTATTTCAGCGGTTTTCACACGGACAGCTACTTTGTAGGTGCACTTCAGGCACGTGTAATTTCCTCCTGGGAGTGTGCATGACCGTGTCAAGTCAGCTGTTGTCTACGTTCCCCGTGGTCTCAGCACTTCATATGGGTCTTGGCTAAAAGGGGCTCAACTCTAAAAGTTAACTGCTGGGTACTGCCGTAGCCTGCGCAATAAATTTGACTACTGAGAACTACTTATGTACTAGACCTGAGAATGAAAACACAAGATCTCTGCCTCAGGGCACTGGACAGCAGGATTTTAGCCAAGTTGCATATACTAACAGGAACTAGAAATACAAGTGGAAAGTGTTATGTCAGCAATTCTTAAAATACGAATTTAAGGAAACTCAGTGAAAAGAGGGCAAGCTCTGAAACAGGCTTCCTGTTACCCCTGAGCTGGGCCAAGGTCAGACTTGGGTTGGGGGTGGTCACCCCATTGTGGATGTACACAGTGGACGTGGAGAACAACAGAGCTAACCGCTGAGGGGGCGTGGAAGGCTGGGGTCAGGAAGGGTCGTGCTTGTTGGGCTTCGATTACTCTGAAAGCACTGAAGAGGCAGAGGAAGTTCCTTAGAGAGCAGTGGTGTGATCACATTTTTTTTCGAAGGCGGCTCAGGCTCAGGCAGACGCGGAAGTTAAGTTTGAACTGAGGACAAACTGGAGACTGAGTGACCCAGAGCTGGTAGAGACAACTCAGGCTCTGGAGTCAACAAAACAAAGCTACAGCCCAGTTTCAGGGCTCAAAGGTAGGGATCTCAGGGCAAGATCGCCTCTGAACCTGCCAAAGCTGTGGTCTGAGAGGTCTGGGGCACAACTGCCTTATGCCGTATTGGAGAAGGGGGAACCAGAAGGAACCTACTTTAAGGTACAGTAGGGAAGGCAATGAATTTGGGGGTCTGGAGATCTGGTTCACACATCTGTCATTTGATCGCCCCTTCCCCCCCACCTCCTTGCTGACCACTGCAGCTCTGTGGCCATCTGCATGTACCCATTGGGTCGGCTGGGACAGCGGAAAGGTTTCTGCTCCTGAGGGAGGGTGCTCACCGAGCAGCAGCCGGCTGAGGTGGTGGACCTGGTTTCCCTGGATCTGGACCTGCAGGCTGTCCTTGGCCCCGGGGTCAGGCGTGACGGTGGTGCTAGCCTGGCATCGCTGCTGCAGGACGGCAGCCACTGAGCACGGGTCCAGGCCGTAGGCTTCCAAGTTCCGGACCACAGTCACCTGCGGGGATGGTGGAAGAGTAACGGGGGGTGCAGACAGCATGCCAGCCCGCGGGGTGGCCCTCGCCCCCTGTGTTCATCCATACAGCCATCGCTCCTCCACGTCCAAATTAATTCCTGTACTTCTAAATTGATTCTTTCTACCCCATCCAAAATGTGCTCTGTAATTTGGTGAGATAGATACTTTCCATCTGTATCACATACAAGCTGTGTTAAAAAGGGGGGTTTATTATTGTTATTCTGGGGAATTAAAAATATAAGTACAGGTAGAGCAGTATAATGAGCTCCCGTATAGCTCACCAACTTTAACAATGATAAACTCTTGTTGTCAACTCTGATTCATCTCTAGCCCCATCTTCCTCCCTCCATTGCTTTATTTTTTTTTTTAAATTTTTGTATAGAAGAACTGGGGTGTAGGCCAGAGGTGTGGGGGGTGAGAGGGTTTGCTAGAGACAGAGTGGGGAGCAGAACAGGCAGGTCTACTGAAACACACTGCTGAGGGGAGCAGCAGGCGAGACAGGAGGGGTCTGCTGCGCCATGTGGGTCAGCTCCCTGGCCCGGGATTGAACTCAGGCCATTGTGGTGATGGTGCTGAGACGTAACCCCTAGGCTCCCAGGGAGGCCCCTCCTTGTTTCTTTAAAAAAAAAAAAATAGTTGGTACATATATACAATGGAATATTACTCAGCAACCAAAAAAGAGAAACACATGTTTTTTGCAGCAACTTGGATGGAGCTGGAAAAGATCATGCTTAGTGAGATAAGCCAGAAAGAGAAAGAAAAATACTGGATGGTTTCACTCATAGCAGGAGTATAATGGATCAGGCGAGAAAATAATAAGAATAATGAACAGCCATATACCAGAGACATTTTGTGGGGGTGGAGTGGGGAATGGGATCAAAAATGGGGGGGCAGTGCACAGGATTACGGTGATGGCACACGGGTGACTTGGTGATGCGAAACCCGCGGGGATTACAATTGAGATGAAAAAAAAAATACAAAATGATGTAAAAATAAACTGTTTAAAAAAGAAAAAAAAAAATAGTTCTCCTTCACCCTTGCCTAACGATGGTGAAGCGTGTTCTGTCAGCAGGCTTGTGAGAACTGCTTTCAGTAGTCTACAAATACCCTTAATTTTGTCGTGGGATCCAGACCAGAGTCAGTGACGGTCCAGGTCATGTCGATGCCAAGCCCTGTCTGAGGTCTGAGCCCCAACGACTGATACATTTTCCCCCGAATAACTGGTCATTTAAGCTTTGCTCACCTACCTGCAGAAAGTAACTCACTACTTTGGGAAACAGCACTTTCAATTTTGGACAAGGCTAACTGTTATCTTTTTAGATTAATGCTTAAATAAGTTAGTATACATAGAAACTGGTACAGTGTCTCACACACAATCACACACTCCAGAATAGCAGCTATTGTTAATTATTATTAAGGTTTTCATTACTGGTTCTCAGGCATTGCTGCTTATATACCAAATAGTATTCTAAGTGTTTGACCTTTGCATAGTCCTTCATTTGATCCCCACAAAGCCTTAGAAGATAGGTGTTCCCCTCATTTTTCACATAAGGGAAACAGAGATACAGTGACTTGATCAGGGTCAGGCATTGAGGCAAAGGCTGATGTGAGCCCGGGTCTCTAATTTCAGAGCCCTTGCTTAACCTCCATACAATGTTCGAAGGGCTTTATTTTGAACCTGTCTGTCCTATTGAGCTTTCCATCCAGTAATCCTATTTTTGTCTCCCAAGGCTTATAAACCAAGCGAGCGCCTTTTCTCAAGAACAGCAACCGTTCATGTATTTGAGGACAGATGTAATATGTTCCCTGTAACTGTATGTTGCCAAGCTAAACACATTGTCCTTTCAGTGACTCCACAAGTTATTTTGACTGGGCAAAGCCCAAGAGGTAACATAATGAGCAATAGCTAAAAGCCCAGAACATGGTTCTAAGAAAAAAATAAAATCTGTTTACATTTGGAATCAGGCTCCAGCAAGTTTCCTATCCCAGAGCCCTCAAGGGCAGTGAGTGGCCACTGTGACCCAGCTTTATACCACACCCAGCCAGCCGCACAGACACGCTGCTTCACAAACACCCCCTGCAGTCCTGTGGCCAACTGAAGCCCCCCAGTTATATCAGAGAAGCTAGAGCCTAACATGGACATTCAATCTCCATCTTGTTAAATCACCTTTTTATTATAAGCTCTCTGTGCCAGGGTGATGTCAATGGGGCAGATTTTCCCTTTCTTCACAATGGGCTCTTGTCCGGGAAAGGTCACTTGATAGGCAGGCTGTAATTTTTCCAAACATCTGAAACAGGATTGAATAGTTGTAGATTGATAAAGTCAAGAGAAACTGTTTTCTCCCACCCCATGCCAAGGTGGCAGGAGCGGGGAGGTCTTGCAGGCAGTGGTTGGCCGGGCTGCACGTTGGCATCCCTCATTCACCAGGGGGCTGCACCCCACAGCTTCTGAGTCAGAAGCTCCCAGCAGCTCTACAGATTTTGAAAAGCTCCAAAAATGCAGCCAAATGGGGACCCATTCCTTCGAGGAAGAGAACATCAGTGACTCAAGCCACGGGGAACTGTCTGTTGGTTAGAGACCCTTTGGGTGGCCACCACCTGTCGCCAGTCTACTGGACACAGCTCTGACATGTTGACTCATACATACCCACAATACCCACAAGAACACCTTCCCCACAAGGAACTTCTGCTCTACCTCACAGCACTTTCTCTTGTCTGTACATGGGAACCAACAAACCCTTCTAGGAAGGGCCAGTCAGGGACTATCTCAGGCTTTGAAGGCCACACGGTCTCTGTTGGAACCAGTGAGCTCTGCCCACTCAGTGCAGAGCAGCAACTAAGGGTAGTAACTAAGGGTGAGACTGTGCCAGGAACCCCTTATTTATAAACAAGGGCAACAGGTCGGTCTTGGCCCAGAGCTGAAGCTTGCTAATTCCTGAATAAACTAATATCAGTTTTGGTTCTGTGGAAAAGACCCTCCCCACAGTCTTCTTCCTACCTTTTACTTCTAAATCTTTTTGAAGTTCTTACTTTTAATTAATAGTCTTTCCTCCTCTTAGTTTTCCTGCATTGTGTTGATCTGAGTTGTCCCCAAGACCTTCCATATTAGAATTCTACCTAAGTCTGTTTACGTAACCTGATGAAGACTGTTGCAATCTATAGTTTCACATGAGAGACATTAAGGGGAGGGCCAAGGCCTGGAGACGGCCTGCGGCTCCCCTACCTGGTCAGGAGACTGTCCCAAGGAAGCTTCATGACCGTGTGCTGTTCATTTTTCTCTAAGATGCAGTCACACAGGATGGGGTCCAACTTCACAAGACTAAAAGGAGAAAAGAAACAATAAAAAAATCCCAGCCCTACTTCCTCTGACCGAAGGGTCAATTCAGAAATCATTAGATGTCCTGTCAGTCATTCAGAATTATTAGAACCGGGCAGGGGTGGGCGCGGGGGCACAGCCCATAAGGAGGGGTGGCGTGGGGGGGGGGCACAGCCCATAAAGCAATGTATTTTTCTGATGGTTCAAGTACATGTTCTAGAACAAGGGAGAGTCAGGGTGGAGGGTAATGGGGAAGGGGGGCTATTTGTGGTTTCACAAACCAGGTTATTAGCCTGGTAGCTCCCACCTTTTAGACCATGAGGCCCTTTTGAAAGTACAAAGTAAATTAAAAAACACTGAAACACCTTTCATTTGGTCATTTACCTTCTGTATCCAATTATGTAAAAAATAGCATCGGCACCTGAAAACCTCAGAAATAACCTGAGATAATTTTGCTCAGTCTACAGTCAAGGTTGATAGCATATATGTATGTGAACACCCTAGAAATTACTAGGTGCCCATGGCTCATGGTTTAGAAACCACTGGCCTTAATTATTTTTTTTAAAGATTTTATTTATTTATGCACACTAGAACTGGGGTATAGGCCAGAAGTGTGAGGTGGTGGGGTGAGAGGATTCACCCAAGACAGAGTAGAGAGCAAAACAGGTGCACTGACTGAAATACACTGCTGAGGGGAGCAACGGGTGAGACAGGAGAGGTCTTTTGTACCCTGTGGGTCAGCTCCCTGGCCAGGGATGGAACTCATGCTGCAGTGGCTGTGGACAGCTTTGTAGTGCTGCGCTTCAACTTCCTGTGCCACCAGAGAGGCCGCACTGGTCTTTATTATGTCTAAGACTATGACCTCCTCCCCCACCCTCCACCCTAGACTTCTACAGAGGTGTCTAAGTCTGTCAAAAAATAACAGCTAACAAGACACAGTTCTTCTCCCCCTCTCCCTTTACTCACTTTTTGTTGTCTGCATCAACTAGGTCATTTTTCTTGGCGTAGTCAATAACGATAGAGCGGACCTCACTGCCCTCGAGGGTGCTCCCCTTCCTAGGTGAGGGAAGGGCCTGGGTTAGCGCACTGTGCGGAGACCACCGCCAGTGCCAAGACTTACTCCCTGCTCAGCAGGGTGCCTTCCTCAGCTCTTGGACCGCTACTTTGTCCCCCTTTCCTGACTGAGGCCATCAGGACTGGGGCGTAGTCACAGGCAGAGAAGAGAGAGGTCTCATTCACCTAGTCCAGAGCCTCTTCCCAGGAAGGAGACATGAAGCGGATCTGGGAGAAAAGGAAACTGGCGCAGAGCAGGCTTGCCCATCACAGAAGAAACTACTCAGGCTGGGAACTACAGGCCAGGACACCAAGCAGGCAGAAGAGGGCTGCTCTCCGAAAACTCACTTGTGGCCAGACGCCTGGAAGAGCAGGGTCATGCTGGCTGGGACACAGTAGAGGGGTTTTATATCTGGAGGGTGATAGGGCTGTTCCCTGCTACCCTCCTGGACAGTCTGGGAAGTCGGGGAGGGCTCGGGTATGACGAAAGAGGTGATCCTAAAACCCAGCAGAAGGAAAGAAAAAACACATTTTACACTGTCTCGACAACTCCCAGTCCGAGGCCCGGGAGCCCTGGGGCCAGCCGCCTGGCGAGCAGGCCCCTGCACTCACCTCGGGTGCTTCCAGTCCACAGCTACAATGCTCTCCACCCCTTTGCTCAGCTCCTGCACCTGTATAATCTGCTCCTGCTGCATGTGCTGCAGGAACTTAGAGAGCTAAGGGAGAGAGGGCAGTGGTAGGGGCTTCGTCGATTCCACACGCACACTAAGCGCCTACGATGGGCCAGCAGGGAGACTTCCTAGGGAGGGCGGCATGACAGGCCCTGTCTTTAACAAACGTGGGCCTGAGAGGCTCCACCAGAGGGCAGGGGACAGAGACCTGCTGGAGGCTGACTAGCGCTGAAACCCTTCCGAATTCTGGTCAGATATAAAGGGGCCCGAAGAGGAGGAGGGGGTGGGGGTGCCCGACCCACCACCTCAGCCCAGGGAGTTTTCGTCCCTATTTGCACCTGGAACCAGAAAGCTTAACTCTAGCCCGAGCCCCACACACAGGGCTTTGCCAGCGTCCAGCGGCGCATGTCATGTGTGCCCATGCAACCCTGTGTGGCTCTGCAGAGAAGGCGCCCGCTCACCTTTTTGTAGCTCGACTTCTTTACATCCAGCTGTCGTCCTTCAGGGCTGACGGCAGAGAGAAAGGTCAAGTTAACAAGCAGTCGTGGTGGGTCTGCCTCACACTTGTGGGAGGGCGCCTCCCGCACCTCCCCACCCCACCCCACTGTTCCATTCTTGGCCCAGTGGTGGCATCAAAGAGGTGTGCAACTGGGACGCAGCCGCTAGAGAACTGCTGTCCCACAGACCTGGCGGTCAAGAGGGAAGGCTCTCTATCTCGCTGTCAACACGTGGCCCTAGCCCCACACATGGCCAGAAAGCACTGGAAATGTAACTAAGGTGATGAAGGACTTCAATTTTATATTTTGAATAATTTCAATTTAAATAGCCACAGGTGGCGAGTGGCGACTGTATCAGGTACCAGCTTCAGATGCTCCCAGACTAGAAACCTCAAAAGCCTCTCTGGCCTCAAAAGCTTCACTACAAGGTAAACCTGGCCAACCCTGAGCTTTCAGGGCCGCTAGAGCAGCACTCCACCCCGAGGGCCACACCGGCCACACCCGTCCATCTCCAGTCTGCACTGCAGTTGGGACAACGGCAGTAGCTGCCATGGAGACTGGGTGACTGCAAAACCTAAAATATGAATTATTTATTACCTGGCTCCTGACACAGAATTTGCTCACCTCTGTCCTAGTTTTAGGGCGGGTCCCTGATGGAACCTTTCCCTCTCCCCAGAACTTGCAGTGATTCGTAAGGAGCCCTTCCAGAACATGCCCTGGTGAAAAACCTCTATCTTAGAGAACTACCTTGCATGCCAGCAAGGTGAGGACTAATTACCAAGTACCCTGCCCCACACTCCAAGCCCACATTTGTATAGGATGACCTAAAAGTGCCCATATACAAATAGAAAGAGAATTACATTAAAAGCATTTTTTGAAAAACAGCAAAATTCTTAAAAAAAAAAAAAAAATCAGCTCCAGGGACTGAGTCCTGACAGTATAGTAATTTTTATATGTGTATTAACCATCAGGCTATGTAAACTTGACAGCAACCCTACAACTGCTGGAAATTAGGGCTCAGGGAAGCTCAGAGACGAGCTCACATCACAGTGTCCCAACACTCCGGGACCCGGGGGGCTCTGTCTTCCGCCGGGCTCTAACCCCACACCCGCCTCCCTGTCCTGGCAACTTGTATTTGGGGTGGGGCGGGACTCACACTGATTCTTCCTGGTGCAACCTAATCTGGAGAAGCGTGAGGGGGTTGAATATTCCAGAAGAGGCCCCAGGATCTTTCTGGACAGGATATGTGCCCAGGATGTGACCACGAGCCCACATCCCCCAGCAGAGGCAACACTTCCATCTCCTCAACTTCTTTGCACCAGTGGCCATCAGCATTTCCAAAACTCAGAACCTAGTCTGTTTGCCAGATGAACCTTCCACTCTGTCCTTCCCCCAGCGTGTCCCCCCAGCAGAGGCCCAGCAGCCTCACTCCTTGGCCCCTTCCCCCAGCACCCCCATACCAGCAGGAGAACATGTGGCTGCCAAGAAAAGTGCTGCTGAGTAGCGGGAGGTCAGCCTTTTTGACACGGCACTTCAAAGCGTGCAAAAAGCATTGCTGCAATAGTTCATCCATTTGCTCTGCAAGGCAAAGACAGGAACCAGAGCCTTTGTGAGAGACACAGAAAAGTCTGGTGCAGCTCATGAAAACTCCCACTCAACTCCAGCCCCAGCTCACCCCGGGCCTGGAAGAATCCCTCCCGGGTGCTGAAGCTCCCACACACTCTTGCATGTAAAGATGGCTGATGGTAGAGAAGGGGTCAGACACAAGTCCCGGGCCAGGACTGCAAGAGATATCAGCCACTAGGAACTGGGGGGGGGGGGGGGGGGGGGGGGCCCGGGGGTGGGGCCCGAAAGCAAGGGCAGACAGGAACAGAGGGAGACCCCAGGAAAGAGGAAAGGAAGACGCTGCACCCTCCCCACCAAGACTGAAGCCTTCCCCATCCTCTCTAGGCAAAAGCAGAGCAGAGCTCTTCCGACTCCCAAATCAGACGGCTTCTGCTGGTTCCTCTCCTCCCACAGTCATACCTTGAAGGGTCTTGCTGTCTGTGGGCCCAAGGGTCAAGCTCCCAACTTTAGGGTCTTCTGAGGCTTCTAAGGGGGACTTCTCCCCGCAGATTTGATGCACCTCCCCATTTTCCTCCTCTCCTTCCAGGGTCAGATGCCTCATGTCTCCCTGCAGGGCAGAGTCCACCTGGACAGAGCCCTTGTTGTCACTGAGCTCAGGGGCATCCAGGGCCAGTGGAGCGATGGATGGTGGAGGGGACTTGTCTCCTGATCGCCTGGAAAAATCTCATGTCAGAAACACCCACCAGCAGCCACAACACTCTCCAACCCTGGTCAGGAGCTTGGCCGGAAGTCCTGAGAGAGTAAGGCCACGGCAGGCCTCCAGAAGGCAGAGAGCCTGATTCTCATCTCAACATTGCCTATTTCCTCAACTCTGAAATGGGGAGAGTAATTCTGCCGCCTCCCTATCCCAAAGGAATAACATCATTAATAAGACATCCTGAGGCAGAGAAAGATGAAGCAAAAAGCAGTTAAAGAGAAGCACTACCCCCCAACCAAAGCATTCCCTTCAATGAGTTAAAAGTAATAAAACCATTTTGAATTAAATAGCCAAATTAAGATTGCAATGCATCAGTCCAAACCAGTTTGGTGAAACATAAACCTGAAGCTTGGTGTTTACAGCAAAGCATAAACTGGACTCCTCAGGATTGCAAGCTCAGTTGTGCCTCTGTTAACTCAGAATACAGGGGAACTGGCAGAGAGGAGACTAGGTATGCATCATTAAGCCTCGGGAGGACAGGGAAGGAGGCTGTCACGGGGCAGAGCATGCAGAGAGGGAAAGCAAAAAGTTTTATCTCAGCCAAGTTGATATAAATCACAGTTTTAGATAACAGCGCAGCAAGGCTAATCAGTATTGCTCACAGTGAGGACGGAAGTGTATGTTTAGGTTAGTCTGATGAAGTAAACATCAGAACTGTTCTTTAAAATGGGGAGGCGAAGGGTCTCCCTGGTGG